TGCAGCAGTGGCACAGCGCCCGAGAAATGTCTTCAGGAAAATTCGGACCCAGGGATATTGTGGGCCGTGGTAAGAAGTGGCTGCAGCTGGTAGGAAGATGACCCACGGCGCAAGGGACAGCAGACGACCCAAATCAGGTATACATTTTCGAGAGGAATCTGCAACCGAGACTTCGAGGAGAAGCTACAACTCTGAAGCGAGAGGACAACCAGTGGGATCTACAGGAAGCGAGCACTAGGAATTTCCAGTGGGTTGTGAAAACTCAGGAATTGGACCTTGTGGAGGGGTTGACCCACTAGGAGCACTAGGGACCTTTGGACGATGGCAATAACCTGGACTAACTGAAACCTTAGAAGAGAACCGTTCGGGATGAGCTGGCGTTAAGGAGGGAACGGTGGTAGTGGTTGGAGAATTGTCGCTGCAAGAGAAGCTGAACCATAAGATCCCAAGAGCAGAAACCCTTGGAAGATAGGGGATGGTGATATACCGTTTGGCTATTCAAGACAAACAGCCTTAATGAGGGAGCAATGTAGCGGATTTGCTCAAAGCACTGCTAGGCAATGGCTTCATAAACATGTTCCAATGTACAACAATGGAAACTGTGTCTCAGTGGATGAATGTTATAGCTCGTCGCTAGGCAGCAGCCAGACCACCAATGGAAGGGCGAGATAGCAGTCATGTGATTTGTGTTTTCTGTGGTCTGTGCAGAGCCTATATAATGAGGATCTGTTGTAGCTTAGATTAGTTCAGTGCAGTTGAGAGTGCAAGGATGAGAATGGAGCACGTCCTCAGTGAACTGTGAAGATCAGATGAGTACAGATTGGCTCGTGGTAGCGTAGTTGGTTGGGGCACTATGCTACAAGCTGAAAGGTCACGGGTTCATATCCCGGTGAGGTCATTGCATTTTTTCAATTGACCTAATCCTTCCAGCCGCACTATGGCCCTGGGGTTGACTAAGCCTCTAACAGAATGAGTACCAGGAATTAAATAATTTTCCTAGGGAGTAAAGGGCCGTCAGCGTGTAAGGCTGACATCCTTACCGCCATCTTTGAGCTGACTGTGTAGATAATGTGGGACCCTCAACGTCTCACAACCCTATGGGCCTTCAGGGCCTGTTATAGGGAAAGCTTTACTTTTACAGATTAGAACAGAGAACTACAGTTAGTGAAGACAAAATAACAAGACAACTTCATAGTGATTTGAAGTTACAGTTCAGTATGAGATCCGTTGCTAGGAGACGACTAGTGAAGACAGAGAATTCTAGTGCATGTGCAACGGTGAACTGGAATGTGCGTTGAATAGCGACAGCAATATAATTGAGTGTGATTAAGAGAACTTGTACCCGAATTCCTTGAATTTCCTCTGCTGTTTCTTCATGAAGGCACAAAATGCTTTGCATTTGATTTCTCCATTTCCATAATGATCAGGAATGAATTTTTATAATGACGGAAATGAACAGATTGTGCAGATCCCATGTAACAAATTCAGTAACTTTAGGTCTCAGGTTTTTATGGCCGTCCACACTCATTGCAAAGCCTGCTGGGTACAGCACCATGCCAAAATGGAAAATATATATTTCAGAGGAACATGTTGTCTCCTTCTTCTGAGTCAAAATGAAGATGAAGGCAGAAAGTTCTTCTGAAGCATCAGTAAATGTATTACTTGCATGAAGAAAACTCAAAAATGAATTCCATAACTGTGATCGCAATGACATAAGAAAATACAGAGAAACTATCTCCAGTTCAATTCATAAGTCTCATAAAAATGTGATATAAAAGTCTAATATAAAACTGTTATGTTGAACTGGAAAATATTGTAACATGGCTAACTGTTGCTGGGTAACGGGAGGTGGAACGAGTTACCACGAAGACAGACGCTTGATAAACGGTCGGTTGCCAAGTTACGCAACAGTGGAAACGAGGTTACGCAACAGTCAGGAAAGCGGTGTTTCTCCGTGCCGTGCCAAGTAGAGCCGAGCCGAGCCAAAGCGCACTGGTTGCTACGCAGCAATAATCAACTCTTGGCAGCGTTGCACAGCAACGCCTGTAAACACGGCGTTTACGCAACAGTGAAGCGATGTGGGTGTTCCGCTGTCCAACTGAGGGTTTATAAGGGAGACCGGAATGCGTAAGGAGCAGAGTTAAGATGTAGCAGCCGCCAAAGACAGTTGAAGTCTAGCAGTTGCCGAGTTCAGTTGTAACGAGCGTGGACTGTGAAGCCAGAGAGAAGACAGTTGAAACGTAGAAGCAGTTGCGGAAAGAAGAATGGAACATGGGTTATACTGAAGATAGTGTGAAGAGATTTGTGAGTAGGGTTTGTAAAGAGTGTAACCCCGTAACAGTGTCATAATTAATTGTAGTTACGATTTGTAGGCTGTTAAATAAACCAATTAACAATCCAAACTGCATCTTCAGTAGCAAAACACGTTACAATATCAATATATATTGGTGACAAAGGCACGTTACCAATCCTCCAACTGCTCTAACAATAACCAGTCCTGAAGAAAAAGCAATTCCCTCAATGCCAGTTTCTTTAAACCTTTGCCAGTTACACTTAAAATATTTGTGTGCTGCAATCTGCCCAGCTCTTTTCCAAGTGCTGAAATTTCACACAAGAATTCCATACATTCTATGTTACAAAGAAGGTAGGACTGATATCCACCAGAAATTGCAAACGAATTAGTACAGCGACCCACACTACATCCAAAAGTTTTCCCAGCTTAGTGTAACTGGAATGACACTTTTGTAAAGGGTTATTCATGCCATGCTCATCTGTAAACATGCATGCAAATGCATAAAAAATTGCAGTTAATCAATTATACCCTAACAAAGTGAAAATGTGCTTTCAACTTTGTAAAGAAAATATGGATAATAAAATCAGGTGAAATTAATCTTCAATATAAAACGCTACATAAAGACGCACGAAAAATATGCTCAGCAAAGTAACATGGACACAAGAAGCATTCCAATAATTATTTCATTGCTTACACCTTGAGTGAGCTGAGAATCCATATCCGTTATGTGTTGGCTGTTTATTCATGCAGTTGGAACTGACCAATGGAGGCTCTGAATTCCTTCTCGCCCCATTCCCATCAGGAACAACACATAACCTGTCCTGGGAATATGCTGACAGCAGAATGTTGCTCTTACTCTTAGGACCATAGTCCATCAATTTGCAAAACTTCATTCGACTTGGTAACACTGCAATCTCAGACTTGAAACAAGATCCCAAATGATTCTCAGTTTCAGTACGAATATTTCTCTGTTGGTCCCATGACAGTTTAACACCATCTGAAAGTCCAGCTTTCAACATATTATCTTCACTTTTTGGCCGTTCAGCAACAAACAAAGGAAAGCTCTTGGAGTCACCAACACAAGGCACTGCCGATACAATACTGCCTTCACTTTTACTGTGGTTAACAGGCATACCACCTGAAGCAAGTATGATAAAAGCTCTATGCTTTACTCCAGTACAATGTAACTCACTTTCTTTTGAACGCATCTCAGTTAGAACTTGCACATTATCCTCACTTCTCGCATGCCCTGAGTAGAATGCATCTTCAAGCATTTGAGTTCCATTCTGGTTCTTAATCTGTGTTGAAACTTTCTTAAATTCCTTGTCCTCACTCTCTGTGTTATCTTGCAAGTTAAGTTCATCGCAGCTTTTGTAGTGATACCGCGCCCCCAAATCCTCATGGCTGTCTCCAAATAATAAGTGGTCCATGCTGTAACTGACAGATCCCAATCCAACAGCATACACATGGCTGCATAGACTGCTATTAGCACTGTGCAAGGGAGACAGTGGTGATGCCTGAGACCCTGGTTTTGGGCAATCCCACTTTCTTTCATTTTTCAGATACATTCTGGACACGTCAGGAAGAGATTTAAACACTCTTCCCCACTTAGCCGGCCCAGCTCTTCCTCCAAGGCCTTCCTTTCCACGAACCCTTATCAATCCACTGTCTCCAAGGCGGGAAAAATGTTTAGCTAAGGCGGCAACACGACCATATCCTAACCTAACTTCTTCAGGTGATTTCCAACATTTTGATTGCTTAACATCATTCTTACTATCATTTGATGGGTGTTCTAGAAGTGTACTAAGATCCAAATTAAGCACTGGCATCATTTGTTGCTCACAACTGCCATTATTCTCAATGTTCTCAATGTTTTCTAGTTTATCTTGCATCTCATAGGCACTGCCAGTGTTTAGATTTCCCAGTAAAACATCATCTATGTCCTTCATTTCTGCCATACTTTCATTCATCTTGAATGAATACTTTGTACAGAACTTTTGATCTGCAGTCTCATTTCTTCCATTCATCACCTTCAAGTGATGTGGGCTTGAAGAGTATTGACATTTGCTGTCTGTGTGACAGTTTGCAGATGGATCTGATGAGTCAGATGTTACTGTTGATGACTGAGAACAACACTGGTTCTTGCAACATGGTGATACTGAATCATCGTGGTCTTCACTTGACATAACGGATGATACCGAACTGTTCTCAGCTTCAAGAACAATCCCACAAGTGACACTGCTACATTTCATTTGTTCAGGCATCTCTGCATTAAAAGCAACATCAGTCTCCATGGGATTAACTCTATCTGACTGAACACTCTGCCCTTTCATAAATTTCCTGTGGAAGAATTTAGTCAATGCTGGATATTCCTGCTTCTCAGGACAGGGAACTTTTAATGTGGAACCTCTCTTATCATTTTTTGGAGTCACTGGTTCAGTATTTGTTTCTGCATTACAGAACTTACTGCCACTATTAACATCACTAATCTTACAAGTACCAATGACTTTCAGAACTGAGTGTTCGGAATGAGAGTGTGGTACTGTTACATTGTTGCCAGATCTGTCTGAACCTTCATTTAAATATGAGCTGGAACATTGCAAGCATTGAGAATGGTAGGGGGACTGCGAAGACTGAACAGGACCCACATGTACTGCAGAATAAATAGATGGGTTTTGAGGGTACAAACGTTCATTAGAGATCACACCTGATTGGCTGTTCCAGTCAACAAGTCTCTCTTGATAAGCACATGGATGTTGTTTGTTGATTGAAGCTGAAGAATGTAGGTTTGCTACAGACATGCTAGGTGGCAGTTGTCCTCCGATAGGTCTGATGTTGTAAGTTGGAGGAAGTAGTTCAGAGTTAGGGCGAGATCTTGTCAGATTTGGAGCTGTCAGAAAAGTTTTAGAGGAAATGTTAGTATAGAAAAATATTCAACAGAGTTACTGATATTAATAATAAAAGAGTGCCAGGATAGTTAATGTATGTGTAAGTTAAGGCACAGGGGCATGTAACTGATGTTTATATACACAACACATATCATTAATGTGGGTTACATAAAATAAACAGAACGTTTGTTTGGCAGCTTGCAATTATTAATAGAAGTGCCAACACATAAGCTTGACTGAAGAGATACACGAGATCTCTACATTAGCCCTGGATATCTCCTGGTGATCTGATAACATTTTGCAGGATTGTCAACTGTCCGAAATTATATGTCACAGCTGATTAAAGAATCACTGACATATTTTAGCCGAATTCTGGCTGATTTCCATATTAGCAATACTTCAATCACATGAAAAACTGTTTACATTCTTGCAAAGTGAATGTATTTCTATTTCCACTATAAAAATAATTTTTAAAACTGAAATTATGAAGTTATAAATTTAATTTATGGATGTTTTCAATGAAACTGACTGATTCTTTTCCTTTTGTCGGTTCTAGTAAATTATATCAAAGTGTATTACTTGGAGAAATTTTCAGCAACTTTCCCTATAAACGTTTGTTAAAGATTCAACATTCGGGTATCAATCAACTATATATTTCTGCATATTCTCCATGAAAAGAGTGTGAACATTAAGTTACAGCTAGCAAAAAAGGGATGTGGCCTCAATGAAAAACAAAAGGCATATTCTGAAAGGTCATCTGTGGACCACAGAAGTGTCGAATGCATGCAATCAAAAGCAGTGATATCAATGGCAATGTAAAGAGATAGAAATATCCAGGGAGCAGAATAAAGAGTGTAAATAAGCATGCATGTAAATATCCAAAGTTCTTTTACTGCAGAACTTGGATATGATGGGATCACTAACTTGTCAACCCATTCTCAGGTGATTTCAATCACAAAAGGTACTAAACAATAATTAATGACATTTGAATATCTGCAACTAGATCTACATTTCAATGTAAAGTTTCAAAATACAAAGGCAAGTCATATGGTTGGCCTTACCTCTTCCCATCACTGGTGAGGGCTGCTGAAGTAATGTTGCTAAGCCATGGTAAATAGCACCCTGCTTGGCAACCTCCAGCGTTGCTGTTGGACCAGTTCGAACGAGGTACTCAGCTGCCCTGCAAACAAGATAGCTACTATTTCTATCCTTGTTGCTACTGATGGCTGGTAACTAATTTAAACAAACAACAGACTTATGAAAATGATGTGACATATAAAATATTAAAGAACTCTAGAGAAGACAAATAGATCTGCCATAAGTCAGCCTCAAAAAGGTAAGTTCTTTGATTTCAAAGCAAAACCTAAAAGGTTTGTTGCATCTCCATATTACCTACATGTCTTGCATATATCCAAGTATAATGAACTTAACCTAACTCCATGAAGAATTCTTGAGCCCTGTTTCTTTCAGTATGCAAAACCCCAGGTTTTCCAAATAAGATGGTCTCTGCACTATTCATCTGTACCATTTGTTCTGCTACATGCCCTAACCCCTGTTGTCCTCACCGATTTGATCACCCTAATATTACGTGGTGAAGGGTGCAAACTATGAAGTTACTGATTACATTCTCAAATACCCTTAATCCACTAAGCCCTTATAAAAGAAAAAAGTAATGAAAATCTACTCTGTAACCACAAAGAGATGAAGCACCACATTCAACTCTTACAATGTGTAATGTGCTGCCTAGTCAGGGATCTCATACACCTCACAATAAATGAATATGGAACAAGGCTGCAATGATGATTTAAGAAGATTATAAAAAAAACCTGCTCCAGTGTCACACCACGGATATCTCGTGAAGTCACCTGGGTTGGAACCCAAATGCCAGCGGTGAGGAGCCAATGCCTAGCATGCTCACTACGGGAATGACATCATCAAATCAATACAGTCACATGTAATGTCTTCAAATTTTCACAGAACTTAGTGCATTTCTAGTTCCACGACTGGCCCACAGACCACAATTTCTTCATCGGTATGAAAAGTGGTGAATATGAAATGTTTGTCATGCCTGTCATGAAGGAAATAAATACAAAAAATCATCAGGATCAGACAGTGAATGGAAAATATACAAAGTGAAACTATGCTGGTTGCAAACCTGAGGTGCTTATGAACACAGTAACAATCAATGCTGCACAATAACCTTAACATCTGACAACCATCAGACCAGCTTCAAAACACATCTCACAGGGATCTTCTCTTTGCATTGTTTTAATACAATTTTTAGACAACATTTTAAAATCTTAAGTATATTTAGTATCATGCTGGATCCAGCAAATTGTAACTAGCAAAGAAAATGTTTTATTTTAGTGCTGCAGTTCATGTGTAGTCCATTAACATTTGTGTAATTCGTCAAGAATCACCAGAGGATGGCCTATCTAGGCTGACTGTGAACTGGTAAGCAAAAAACGTTTATGTGTGTGACAGCAACCCCTTCATTTGAATTTTTAACAATGCACTTCGTCTATGTTCAGCAGAAATCAAATCAAAGACCTGTAAGTGGTGACTAGAATAAGCAGTTTTACAGTTTCATTAAAAAATCGCTGTATCTGACATTCAAGATGAAACTGTTCATGTTCAAAATGTCCATTTCATTTACAATTTTCTACATGACGCCCACCAACAATTCACATTCACCATGATATTTACTAACATATTTTCAAAATAGCTTGTACTGTAAAGTGAAACAGGGGAACAAACTATATTAAATATATTAAATAGTACAAAGTAAATTATGACTTACTTTTCTTGTGTTATTCCAACTAAACTCTGTCCATCAACAGTCAACAACTGGTCACCTGCTTGTAACTGACCATCCTGATGAGAAAATAATAATCAATAAATAATTTAGATGAAGGAGCCGCACATAACAATAATATCTGTCATTCCAAGTTTAGGCAGGTGAACCTTACCGGCCTACACTGCAGACGAACACTATCCAAGGGATATTACGGTGCACCTAACTGTACTGATATTCATTTCTGATTTTAACACAAGAAAATCAAATAAATGGAAAAATTCTGGTATAAACTAATGTCCTCTGACCCTCCCCCCCATTATGTTAATATTTGTGCATACTACACACAGCATCTGATAATACCATTGACTACGATGCGACACAGTGTCACCTGACAGAAGTTTATAAACTTTTGGAGGAAGCAACCAGCAGCATGTCAATTGCTTGTTGCTTGGGTGGTTTACTCTTCAATCCTGAAAATGGAAGCAGTACATTCCTCCAAAAGCACAGTAAACTTCTACCAGACTACACAGAGACACAGCCCAGCATATAGTACACTTCATGGTCATCACTCTGAAAATCTCATATTTAACTTTTTTTTTTATATTTCTTTTCTAGGGTGGGCTCGCCCTGTTAACTATGAAAAGTATGATCTTGTGGGTTGTAATGCTCTGTAACCTGGTAGAAGTACACTGATATTCCTCTAAAACATTTGTGTTACAGCTCATAAACTCATTCTTTTCAAACAGGTCATGTATGAACAGATATGCACATATGTGGAACACTGCCTCCTTTTGAGAGGGTGTGAAGGGTAACATTTCTTTCAGAATTTCAACTCACCAGCATTCATTGCTCTAGTACTGATGAACACAATTAATCAAGGACTCTACTACGTACAGTAAATTCACCCAGTATTGTTTGAAATCAGATGATATACCTAACCAAATTACTACAGATAAAATTCGTTCAATGAGCGAGGAAGCCTGGCAAAAGCATACTGCGAACATAACATTTCTCACAGACTGCTGCTGTAATTCTCGACAACAGAATGAGTCATTGGGGCTGATAAAGGTGCGCTGTCAGATGGTCTGATTTTGTCACTGCAGTAAGGTGCATTAATAGTCAGTCTGTGTTAGAGGTGGCCATACAACAAGTGCCATTACATAGTGAAAAGGTGGGGGTGCGGTGTGCTGTAAGTATGCGGCGCATCACTGGCCCCTTATTTTTCACAAAACTGAACCCTGTTCGCTATGTTAATGATATACTGAATCCGTTCTTCAGTCAGCTGACTGCTGAGGAAAGACAATATGGGTATTTTCAGCAAGACAGCGCTACAGCACTTAGGCTAATGCAACCATGGTCGCAATATGGGAAGTGTCTGAAGACAGAATAACCAGCAGGGGACTGTGGCCTCTCAGATCGCCAGATCTCAGTTTTTGCGATTTTTATCACTGGGGAAATCTAAAGGGGAAAGTCTACAAGAATAATCCTCACAGCACTGAAGCTCTGTAGAATGAAATAACATGCATAATTGGTTCAATTACCATGGGCCAACTTCAGAATATGTCGCACAATATACTTATGCAATGCAAGGCATGTTTGCAAGCAGGAGGGGGTCACTTTCAGCACCTGCTATAAAGTACAGTAAGTTTGCATTATATTTTTGCAGTAATCTTATAAATGTGTGCATGTAGAGAAACTGATGTGAGGGAATCAGCGACACGACTGCACTCTCACTAGTGGGGAAGGGCACAGTAGTCGCAGTCATGGAGAAACGTTCCACCCACTGTATGCTAGCGAGAATGCGCGTGTTTATCAGCGCTATTGACTCATTCTGCTATCGGCAGATACAGCAGCAATCTGTGAGAAATGTTGTGTCCGCTCTACACTTCTGCTAGGTTTCCTCGATCATTGAACGTCCTGTATAACACAAAAGAGCACTACACTCACATAACCTTACTTCCACAGCTCTTACGTGAACTTCAGTATTTTTACAAATGTTAGAACTTCAGATGCATTGTGTTTAGTTTCATAACTAGTTCAACTTACTGCATCTGCTGCTCCTCCTTTCACCACAGACTTGATGTAAATACCCAAGCGGTCCTGTCCTGCACCCTGAAAATGCAACATATTCAATAAGTTACAACTCTGGCAAAACCATTCAAAATCTGCACTCCTGTTTCAATTCATGCAATTTCTGAACATATTCCTTCATCAAAAATTGTGTTCGCCCAAATTACAGTAATCCTTTGCAAACTGTAGGCTCTTCTCCCAGAAAACCAATACTGTGATAATGGGAAAATGGGGATTTGGGGAACCATGATCACTGTTGAAGAAAACAGTCTTCTGTGAACCCAAAAGTTCATTACCAAGTTCACAAGAGACCTCCACTGGTCCCTATCCTCAGCCAGATCAATCCAATCCATACCATCCCATTCTGCATTTTAATATTGTCCACCCACCTATGCCTTGGTCTTCGTAGTGGTCTCTTTCCTTCTAGCTTTCCCACCAATATCCTATATGCATTCTTCTTCTCCACCATTCGTTCTACATGCCCTGCTCACCTCATCCTCCTTGACATGGTCATTCTGATTATACTTGGAGAAGAGTATAAATTATGAAGCTCCTCATTATGTAGTTTTCTCCAACTTCCTGTCATTTCATCTCTCTTCCGTCCAAATATTCTCAACACCCTGTTCTCAAACACCTTCAGTCTATGTTCCTCCCTTAATGTCAGAGACCAAGTTTCACACCCATACAGAACCACAGGCAAAATTATAGTTCTGTGTATTCTAATTTTTGTTTTTGAACAGCAGCCGAGAAGACAGAAGGTTCTTGACTGAATGGTAGCAAGCATTACCTGAGTTCCATCTCTTAATTTCCTCTTGAATCACTCTTTCATTTGTTATCGTTGTTCCAAAATATCTGAACTGTGGAACATTTTCAAAACATCTGTTTCCTATCTTTATGTCATGATTTTGCCTGCATTTTGGTGATGAGACAGCAACATATACTTAGTTTTCTCCGTGTTTACTTCTAGACTAACCTCCTTACTTGCGTCAATTAACGTTGGAAATGACATTACATACACTTGAAATTTAAACTGCCAAAGCCACGGTTTGTGAAAGACTGCTTCTAAGTAAAATGGAACACTTTCACTCATAGTGTTTCCCAGAATAAGAAACTGAGCTCTAAAGTACAATCCCTTTTACATATTTTCTGAACATGAATTACATAATAAAAAGGTAAGATCTGAATTTGATAAATAAATGGGTAATGTTACTGTTGGACAGGCATCAATATCTAACTCAAAGCTCCTTCCATTTGCAAACTCATGTAAATTCATTATACATCAACACAGTTATAAGATGAAAATCACTCCTGCTACTCTTTACAGCTCATAGAGTCAATGTCAATGACTCAAAAATTACCATTAGCTCCTACACCAAACTGGTTCAGTCCAATATACATCCTCATAATTTTAATATTATCCTCCCTCCCACTGCTTAGTCCTCGTAGTGATCACATTCCTATAATTTTTGTCTGTGACATGTTCATATAAGTTAGTTTCACCTGCACAAAAATAAATAAACTCAAAGTATCCTCACAATTTTAATATTATCCTCCCTCCCACTGCTTGGTCCTCGTAGTGATCACATTCCTATGATTTTTGTCTGTGACATGTTCACATAAGTTAGTTTCACCTGCATGCAAATAAATAAACTCAAAGTATCCTCACAATTTTAATATTATCCTCCCTCCGACTGCTTGGTCCTCGTAATGATCACATTCCTATGATTTTTGTCTGTGACATGTTCACATAAGTTAGTTTCACCTGCATGCAAATAAATAAACTTAAAGAAGTCAATGTTTGTGTAGAGACATGTTTTTGAAATCGTTAATAGACCTGGTAGTATTGACTTGTGGGTGGATGAAATGTGAGACGGTATTCAAGCTTTCCATTGGGGAACTGGCTCCAGAGGTCAAGGGCATCAACATTATACTACAAAGATCCAGAGAACTGAACCTTATGGGATGTTGTGGAGGGGGTGGGGTGGAAACCAACTGCTATGTAACCTACAGAATTATGTATGTATAACATTTCATTGTATCTCCTCAGACTATTCTTACGCCCCAATTCTAACAAGTATTAAAATCATTCATCAATGGCATGGTAACTTTAAAGATTTTGTAGTACAGATTCTAAAGGTTAGTTACTACTCTTAAGAGTGCAAGAAAATTGCTCATGTAAAGGTGCAATGATTATCCACATCAGTACATCAAAATATTTGAGTATAAACCGCGTTTCTGTTTTCCATTTTCTTAAAAATAGTGCCTGAATAAAAAATCGCAAGTTTTTCAAAGACTGGTCATCATACAGGGCGCTGCACCAACTGGTAAATTTCATTCCCTGCTTACAGCTTTGCACGGCTGTCATGTTGGTACTGAACGTAACCGCTAAAGAAGAACAGGGCATCCACTGGCAGGATCTCCATACAGAATCCATAACTGAACATCTCTCTCTCTCTCTCTCTCCCAGAAGTCCACACATACACAAAATTTGTGACAGGAAGAAAAGGTGAATGAGGAAGTGGCTGAGGAAAATAAGGAGATGGAGGAGAAGAAGGTAATGATGATGATTATGACAGCAGAGGAATGACTCTTATCCAAGGAGAAGCACAACATTATACTACTAAAAGAACAGGTCATTAAAAGGTAAAGCTGTCCCTGTACTTAATTAGTTAAGCACTGTGGCATGAAGACATGGGAGTGATAATATAGCTTCACCTTTCTTGACCTCAGCATTAGATGTACGTGAGTGGTCAGCTTCACTGCCTGTCTTTACCCCCACCCCCCCCACCCTGGGGAAAGAACCCTCAGTACCAGTTGTACAGGAGGCTGGGTGAGCCCCAGATTTGTGGAGAAGATAAAAATCTTGCACTGGCAGGAATCGAACCTGAGGCATCCAGCCTGTCACTATACTGACTCCTCAATGGGTGATTTCCACGTGAAAATGTCTGTAATTTGTGTTTGTCCAGGCCAATCTCCATGTGCAGCCCATTGCAACCTCCACGATTTAATTACCCCAGTGATAACAGGAATAACTTCATTAATACTTCGGTGCTATATAACCTGATGAGCGGACATAAAAAGTTTCTTGCTCAAAGCTCTCAATAGGATATGACTCACACACAATGGCTTCAATACTGCATATCCAAACGTTACTATCTGTATATCGAAGCCTAAACATTAATTCCTAGGTTATACAATGCTTCTGCATCAACTGCAACAGGTCATGCAGTATCTCTTAAGATTTGTAGATATCACAGTATGGGAAATAATGAGAAAATGGAAGAGTACAAAGTACTATACAACCGCTTTCCTAGAAAGGATTATCAAAATCACACAAATTGCATGTATCCATTTATTGTGTACACAGAGAAAAAGGATAAGTGTCTTTGGTACGAAGCAATCTACAACTGCTAGGGACAGGGTAGCAATGACATCTGAAATAACTCCCAAATTAGTATTTCACTGTGTTCTGTGCCAATTTTATGTATTTATTACTGATTATGTAATGCTTTGATAAGTGTTAACAGCAGCTGCAGTTTCTCACGTGCAATTTGCCTTGCCAAATGCAGTTTATTTCTTCGGAATTATCTTTGAGATTGGTTAGCAATTGCTCTACTTGAAAAATACTTATCTGTTATGCCTGCGATTAATTGCAATTCCTTCCGTCGGTTAAAAAAATGTGGAAAAATGCGTTCTCATACAATTCCATTTCTAAAGTCCTCCAAAAGATGATAACTGAATTACATATACACATATCAGATAAAGCATTTATACATTAAGGCACACAACTGTTGCCTATAATTAATTCTGATTAATTAGAAACATATGGCAAATGACTGATTTCCTTTTCTTTCCGATATTTGATGTAACTTCTCTTAGAGAATGTAATAGCACGAAAATTCTCAGAGGCCTTACTAAGTAAACAGGGAATTTATGGTATGCTGTTTGCAGTGCTGAATCCGGTGATGCAATGGCACAGAACACAAAAGAAACTGTTCCCTGTCAAAAAGAGTTCATTCCCTTACTACTGTGCAAACAAAATAGCACTGAGAGTTCTCTGTGTGTGCGTTCCACTATTTACTGGCCTGCGAGGCAGTTTGAACAAAGAGGACATGTATGAGACAAATGTGCACAGGGATGTAAACACTTAGGTCTGCATGAACACAAAAGAGGTTATCACTAATAATGGGGACAACTGCACCAAGTCCTAGGGAAAACAAATTATCACAACAGACAATGAAATAATGCAATGTACTTTCTGCAAATGAATACTGCTCACAACGTAATGGGAATATGGATAATCTGAATGTTGCATGGTTCTCAGCAGCAGCATATTTGAACTTGGATGGTTATATTAGCAAAGAGAAGGTAAGGCTTGCATGATGCCGCTAACGTACTGCACCCAGAGACAAATAGTGTAGTATGCATTACCAACTGTCACAGTGTCTTCACTGATGGTACAACTTACTTCTGCTGTGTGCATCAGTCTACAAAGGAATAAACTTGCCCCTTTCTGGCAGGGATTCATCATGGCAATCAATAGGAGCTTGGTTTCAGGAAGATGGTCACACATCAGACAAGCAACGCTGTCTGACTGATTTTATCTGGACATATGTATATATAATCAAGTGTATATTTTAGATTTTTATATTTATATTGCTATATTACCATGTTGTTATG